GTGGGGCCGCTGCTGAATGAGGCGGGTGTCCTGGTGACGTAGGATGCGGAGAAGGCAGAGCTACTGAATGCCTTCTTGGCATCAGTCTTCAGTGCTAAGACTGGCCCTCAGGAATCCCAGGCCCCGGAGGTAAGAGAGGAAGCCTACAAAGAGGACGACTTTCCCTTGGTCAAGGAGGACTGTGTGAGGGATCGCTTAAGTGATCTGGATGTCCACAAATCCATGGGCCCCGATGGAATGCACCCACGAGTGCTGAGGGAGCTGGCGGATGTCATTGCTGAGCCACTCTCCATCATCTTTGAGAGGTCCTGGAGGACAGGAGAGGTGCCCGAGGACTGGAGAAAGGCCAATGTCACTCCAATCTTCAAAAAGGGCAAGAAGGAGGACCCAGGGAACTACAGGCCACTAAGCCTCACCTCCGTCCCGGGAAAGGTGATGGAGCAGCTTATCCTGGAGGCCATCATCAAGCAAGTGGAAGAAAAGAAGGTTATCAGGAGTAGTCAGCATGGATTCACCAAGGGGAAATCATGCCTGACCAACCTGATAGCTTTCTATGATGACATGACTGGCTGGGTAGACGAAGGGAGAGCCGTGGATGTTATCTACCTTGACTTCAGCAAGGCTTTCGACACAGTCTCCCATGATATCCTCCTAGGGAAGCTGAGGAAGTGTGGGCTGGATGAGTGGTCGGTGAAGTGGATAGAGAACTGGCTGAATGGCAGAACTCAGAGGGTTGTCATCAGCGGCGCTGAGTCTAGTTGGAGGCTGGTGACAAGTGGTGTCCCTCAGGGGTCAGTACTGGGCCCAGTCTTGTTTAACTTCTTCATCAACGACCTGGATGAAGAGTTAGAATGTACCCTCAGCAAGTTTGCTGACGACACCAAACTGGGAGGTGTGGTAGATACACCAGAAGGCTGTGCTGCCATTCAGCGTGACCTGGATAGGCTGGAAAGCTGGGCAGAGAGGAACCTGATGAGGTTCAACAAGGGCAAGTGCAGGGTCCTGCACCTGGGGAGGAACAACCTCATGCACCAGTACAGGCTTGGGGTGGACCTGCTGGAGAGCAGAGAGGGACCTGGGTGTCCTGGTGGACGACAGGTTAACTATGAGCCAGCAGTGTGCCCTGGCTGCCAAGAAGGCCAATGGGATCCTGGGGTGCATCAAGAAGAGTGTGGCCAGCAGGACAAGGGAGGTTCTCCTTCCCCTCTACACTGCCCTGGTGAGGCCTCATCTGGAGTACTGTGTCCAGTTCTGGGCTCCCCAGTTCAAGAAGGATGAAGAGCTACTGGAGAGAGTCCAGCGGAGGGCTACAAGGATGGTGAGGGGACTGGAGCATCTCCACTACGAGGAGAGGTTGAGGGAACTGGGCTTGTTCAGCCTGAAGAAGAGAAGGCTGCGAGGGGACCTTATAAATGCCTACAAATATCTGAAGGGTGGGTGTCAGGAGGATGGGGCCAAGCTCTTTTCAGTGGTGCCCAGTGACAGGACAAGGGGCAATGGGCACAAACTGAGGCACAGGAAGTTCCGTCTGAACATGAGGAGGAACTTCTTCCCTCTGAGGGTGACGGAGCACTGGAACAGGCTGCCCAGGGAGGTTGTGGAGTCTCCTTCTCTGGAGATATTCAAGACCCGCCTGGACAAGGTCCTGTGCAGCCTGCTGTAGGTGACCCTGCTTCGGCGGGGGGGTTGGACTAGATGACCCACAGAGGTCCCTTCCAACCCCTACTATTCTGTGACTCTGTGATTCTGTGAAAGGCCAAAGACACATGGATGCTGCAGTGTGTTCAAGGCTCTCACCTTGAGTGGGTGTTAGGAGCTGCTCACAGGAAGCATCTTCAGAGATGTTTCTCATGTTAAATGAACCCCACAAGATATTCGAATGAGAAACTCAGCATACAGGAGTATCGTGCTGAAAAATCATTGCATAGTGTATGCCATCTCTTTCCTTCTGAGCCGTATCATGCAATGGGCCATAAAACTTTGTACAGGACATCTTCAAGACATACAAGACTGATACCAATTGGCAGAGAAATCTCTGTCTTTCCTATCTCTAGTCACTTAGTGACTGAATACTGGGGAGTTTGTACGAAACATATCAATTTCCAGCTGAGCCCTTGGCCATGACTCGCTCTGCAGTAAGAAGCAATGCAAGAGCCTTCATTTAAGGCCCTGTTCTGAATCAAGACTTTCTCCATTCTGTTCTATTGCCTATACTTACTCCCTGGCAATTATATATCAGCAATATTATCTTGATTTTGAACAGAAAAACTACTGTAGGCTTAACTATTTTCTCACTAAATTTTCATCAAAACTAATGTCTTTCATTGATTCCTTACAGTTTCAACTAACTAGTTTCCAACCAAAACTCTTTTCTTAAATATCTTCTCAGTCAGTGCTATCTAAAAATTAATACTATCAAGTACCAGAAAATATGCATATAAGCCTTAGAATTTGCTTAAAGACCAAGGCTGTGACAGCCTCGGACTTCGGTGTCAGTACGGCACCAGCGCCTCATTCATCTCCTAGCTCTGAACTTTGCCTCCTGCTCACAAATAAACACACCTTTCCTTCAAAAATATTTCATTTGGGTACATATCCATGTCGTGAACACATAGAGGTTTAACTAGTTTCTATATGTTCTGAGAAAAAAGAGCAATTAGAAATAATTAGCAAAAAAAAACCCCAGACCCAAAGCATTTTATATAATCTTTTTCAAGAAACTTTTAATTCTGTGTTAGTACTTTTCTTAACATTCTGATAGTTAAATGGTTTGACTTTCTTGTGTAAAGGTCTTTCACCTAAGTTTCTTTCTACTTAATTTTCTAAATGTTCAGAATGCTCAAAATGGTTTTTAATCTTCTTTATACTGTTATTTTTCTGGAAAACATCTTTCAATTTGTCCAACCTACATGTGAATTAAAAATCCAGTTTACCACTGTTTGTTCTGTTGACAGCTGACTTTCTGCAAGTAACATCATCTGGTGTTCAGTTTATCTACTATCAAGTGAGAACAACAATCTTTCGTAATCCTTTTTCTCTCTTTGTCTCTATGGTGGAGAGACTCCCTTTCACTCATCTAGGAATTACTTGAATGATGAGAATCTAAAACTTGATCTCCAGATCAAGTATTTCCAGAGAGGTTCTCAGTATGATTAAAACAAAGTAAAGCTTTCATTATACTCCTGTGATGTAGCCACTCCAGGTTAAAACTATGTTATATTGACTTTATTTTCATAATGCAGTTAAGATTTTGTCATACCAGTTTTCATTAAACTGCATGGAGTCCACTTTATTAAACTGTGGTTTCCTTAGTTTAAGAGATAGAGGAATCACAATGGCTTGTGAATGTTTCCATGTTAAACCGACTTCTTTGTGCTCAGAGTAATATTTTGTTATTTAGTAATTTTAAGATTCTTTCCACTGATAAGAAATCCAGTTTCTTAGTGTTGTTCATGCCTACAAGCTTTAGCAGTAAACATCTTACTAAAACCAAAGCAGCAGCATTTAAAAGTACCAGAAGTGATATACACATGGTACTCACCTGAAGATACATGAGTCCTGCCTGGCCTTCCGTGCTCTTGTGATCACCCAGTGCTTACAACACAGGGCTGTCTCCTGTTCCTAACTCTTTTGGACCTGCTCTGCAATCTTTGCTGTGGCACCACAGCTTTTTGAACACTAACCTATTAATATGTGAAAGGATAAGACTGATAACATCTCAGTTGTGAAGTGATGTGTTTGTTGACTCTGTCCGAAATCCAGTTCTTCCAGGTGTGCATTGTAATTTCCTGATCTTCTGTAGACTGAAATAGATTTTGTGAATGCTCAGTAAGATGTGCACAGTATTTTGCGAAATAAAGTCCAGAAATGGAAAGGACATTGCTGGGTGACCTTATTCATTAACTGGATCAAAACGCCTGTGTAAAAACTTTTGATGAGAGTAACTTCGTACTGTATTGGGTTTGTGTGGGAAGATTTTGGTAGCAGGGAAGCTACAGAGGTGGCTTCTGAGAGCAGATGCTGGAAGCTTCCCCATGTCCGACAGAGCCAGTGCCAGCCAGCTCCCAGACGCACCCGCTGCTGGCCAAGGCCGAGCCCATCAGCAACAGCGGGAGCCC